AAAAACAAAAAATTACAGGTCCATAATTCCTTATATGAAATCCTTGAGTCCAATGTGCTTGGGCCATTAGAGCTTTTTAAATGTTATAAAGAAAGCACAGTATGTACACACTGTATATTCACATGTATCAGTATATCTTGTACTGAATTTACGAACACTCATCTCAGTACAGTCAAGTCTCTTTCTAAGAATTGTATATTTAAATTCTGTGGAAAAGAGAGAATGACTCTACAAAGCAACCATTAAAAAAGATGAGAGCTGTGGACAGTGCTTTTTCTCTGAGTGCAGTTTTGTTACACAACAACATGCTGCAGTTTTTGTGTACATACACAAAGGAAAAATCAAGTGCACAATATATGCATATACAACAAGGACAAACCAAAGTATAATGAATGGTTTTGGCAGGTTGTAGGATTAAGGTACTTTTTCTTTTTGTAACATTCTCATTTTAGCAGCAAAGTTTTCAAATAGTATTGCCTTCAAAAGACAATGGCAGATGGAAGACATTACTGTGAGAGAAGTTAATTTGGAGGAAGGGCACAGAAAGAAGTGATGTGGGAAATAAAACGGAGAATTATTTCTTGGAAGATAAAAAGCTAATAGTAAAAATATTCTTAATATCAACAATTCCATTACTTGTAACTCTCAAGCTAGCAAAATTCCATACACAAATGATAACTTCATAATGTACTTTCCTTTCAAGCACTAACTTTAATTTTCCATCTTTTTTGGCTTATTTTTTTCCAAGATCCCTGCACTCTTTCAGCAATGCACAACTACTCATCTAAAACCCCATAGTCTGCCAGCACTACCCCCAACTGGCATTCTCAAGAGGGAGAGGGCGAATGCCAAATGTGCAATCTTAACACACACAAAGTGTATCAATTTTATTTACGGGTTTTTTCGTCGTTTTGACATTAGTTCTTCATATTTTTTGAAGCCAAAATATGTTTTTCAATGAAATGGGATTTATGACTATGTGTTTTAAAGTCCTTTTTGGGTATAAAAACAAACTCAATATCACTTTATACGTCTGTGTAGTTTAAGTCTGGAAACTACTACTTCAAATAGTTCCAGAGGATGACAACAAAGATCTGCTGGGAGCAGAGCTGTAAACAAGGCAGGAAAAGTAAGGCCAGTTACCGGGCTTCCATTCCAGTGGAAAAAACACTGGGTAAGCAATGGAGCAGTAATATCCAGGGACAGTATGTAAGAACATTCCACAAGAGGGGAAAAGGCATCTTCAAGAAAAAGCAGGACCAGGATCCTTTAGTGGGGTGAGTGGTATAGATACTATTTCCCAAGCAGTTATCTTTTGAAGTGCAGAAACCCTTGAATGAATACAATTTGGTTCTTCAGGGCTTGACCACACAGGACGCCAATACAATGGGGCTGATCAGACCAAGAGAGATCACCTGGGGGCCCCCATGCTGGGGAGCACAGTTACAGAAGGAGACCACTCTAAAATGGGGGGGAGGGGGGAGGAGAGAAGAGAAGAGGCATGCTGCATGCTGGAGCTTGTGGTAGAGAGCTAGCACCTTCTCTTAAGCACTTCCCCTGGAGCATGGACTTCAGCTTGTTTGTACCTTTCATCTCATGTGAGGAGTGGAATTCATTTCCACAACACAATTTGGCATTAGAAGCCGGATCTTCACCTTCCTGGATTGATTTGACACTGACAGGGTCTTAATTTAAATGTTTTGGAAATTTCTAAATCAAGAGAAAACACTCCCCACCTCCCACACTACACCCTGAAAAGGTAAAATTAGAATTACTTTGTGTGTGTGCTGCCAGATCACATTTATGTGCCATTCAAACAAGTAAATGAAAATATCCATGCAGTCACAAGACCTTTTAAAGGAAAGAACACCAAATTGTGACCCTATCAACTTATAGCTGGTGAGATAAACACTCAGCAGCAAGCTGCCTGCAATAACACAGATCCCTCCATCAAAAGGCCTTGCTATAGATGTCTAGTTCTCCAGTCAGCAGAACAATTGGCAAGAATTAAAACATCACATGGAACATACCTTGGGTGAGATGATACTCTCCACACTGCTCTCTAAATTACACTCGAACACATGGGCTTTGGTCAGCTTCTTATCCCAATGGGCCGCTAGCCAAATTTTGGCCAGCGGCCCTCTTTTACTGAGGACAAAATGTGCGTAAAACATTGTTCCAGTGGACGATCAGATGGGCGGAGGAAACCTGTGGGGGGGAGAAAAGTCAATGTAACTAAGTACTGTCTGAGAATGACCATGTTTACTAAGACATGTGAAAATACAATATGCATTAATAAAACCCTATGGCTTCAATTTGGAGGATCAGATACAGACCATAAACTACGAAGAGATGAAGAGGAAAAGTACAGTCACTTCTCAAATCACACCCACCCCTGTGCCATCTCACTCAGAGGTCCTAAGCTTTTTTTCGGCCTAAGCATTTTTGTTAAATTGAAGGTCCATCGAGTTGAATGTTTAATTCCACTACTATCCAATTACTGACTGCTGAAGCTGTCTGCTTGCTTACCTGACAAAAGTGAAATACCTTCGAGGCAAAAAAAAAGAATGTCCCAGAAGAAAAGCCATTCTGGCAGATATTAATGAAAGCGTCCATTTTAGGACCCCATGCAAAATTAAGATTCTTAGCTAAAGGTTTCATACAATAATCGTCACTATGTACCAAGTATTTGTCAGGCAGTTCACAATCAGCCAAGCAAAGTAAAGTAGTTGGGTCGGTCATACCATTTCACAATTCTGACTCCAAGAGGCCCTCTATACATAGGGCAAAGCAGAATTGCTCCCTAGGGTTTCTGAGTTGCAAACCCTTTATGGAATCAGAAAGCCTATTCTGTCCCAGAGTAATTAGTGGGTTTGAACTGCTGCTAATCTTGTGGTTAGCAGCCCAATGCTTACCCCATCATGTTACCAGGGGTTACCTTGAGGACAAGTCTATACTATAAAAACTCAATTTATGATTAAAATGCTCTTAGCATAAATATAAGGATGCGATTTATACATAATTTTTCTTTCAACAAGCCAATGTACTACTAATACTTAAGAAAAAAGGCAACCTGAAAAATCCAGTTTGGAGAAAGTATATTAATAGTGAAAACTGATATTTCTTATTTGATATCTTTTCCTTTTCTTAAATAATTTTATTGGGAGCTCTTACAGCTCTTATCACAATCCATACATATGTCCATTGTGTCAAGCACATTTGTACATTTGTTGCCATCATCATTTTAAAAACATTTTTCTTTCTACTTGAGCCCTTGGTATCAGCTCATCCCTGCCCCCTCCCCTCATGAACCCTTGATAATTTATATAAAATTTTTTTTCATGTCTCACACTGACCGCTGTTTCCCTTCATCCACTTTTCTATTGTCCACCCCCCTGGGAGGGTTATATGTAGATCCTCTCCTGGTATCACTAGTAATTAATATCCTTTTTCATAGAATAAAACAAAGCTTTTTTACCAAACAAATTTCTATCTTTAAAATTTCCACGATTACAATAAGACATGAGATGCCTGGTTACACTGTTAATACACGGAAAGAATCTACTTTAAAAGAATAGTTACGGGAAGTTATGAGAATGGTATATACTGATATTCTGTGTAGGCGCCATTCAGTTTCTCCCAAAGGAAACACTTTACATAATTAAAATGACAAAACAGAAACGTGACATTTGTACAATTTATATATGGTTCTACCATAGGTTTTTCACTTATACAAACTCACGTAACCACCACTGCTATCAAAATATACTATTCCAGGACACGGATCTCTTTCCCGATCTCTTTAGACTCACCCACTCCTTAACGCTCTCCCGTGCCTGAACCCTGGCAACTACCACTGTTCTTCCTGTGCCATCTCAAGAATATCTGACCAGTGCAATTATACAGTATGTACTGTTGGCACTAAACATAATACCCTGGGATACAGCCAAACTGATCCATGTATCAATTTGTTCCTTTTTATTGTTTAATAGCATTCAGTGGTTTGGCTCTACCCTATGTCTAATCATTCACTCATTGAAGGACTTAAGGCTGTTGGTGCCTTATATACAACAGAACAAAACACTATCTACCTGGTCTTGCACCATCCTCACAACTGTTTTATTACAAATAAAGCTATTATGAATACTGTTTTATGGGCTTCTAGAGAATATGCATGTTCATTTCTGTGGCACAAATGCTCAGAGCGTGACAGCTAGAGTAGCATAAGTGTATATTTAGTTTTTAAAGAAAACTTAAGTCCTACCAAATTAGAATAAAATCTTTTAAATAGACACGGGTAAGATTATTCCTAAGGTCACATAGAAAAACAAAAAAACTAGCATACCAAAGTTTACTCTGAAAAGAAAGATTGGGAGAATTTAGCCTACGCACGTTTAATTTTTGACAAAGGTACAAAAGTAATTCAAAGATCTTTACAACAAACAGTACTGAAGCTAATAGCTACCTCCCCACACACCA